TTCATGGATTCCCGCAGTCTCAGCTGCTTACAGCCACTACAGTTGACCACCGGACCAGTGGGCACACTTTCACTTGTCAGGTAGAATATCAGCGTTCGTTTCGTATGTTAAAAAGCTACAGATAAACCGACCGACCCACAGTGTTGTCTTCAGAGTCAGAAGAATTTACCTTTTACAGGAGAAGGTTGCCACCCCATAAGTGAAATTACAATCAAGAGGACAGCTTTTATTTTTCACGTCGCTCACCTAGTCCCAAGCGTTCAAACATTGCTGTAATGAGAAAGAAGTTGAGACCAATTCACTGTGCCTTCAGGAATGCAGCCTGCAGCAGAAGATTCGTTCTCGTAAGCGCGAATATATAAATACTCACTTTACGTGGTCTTAGCTGAGCTCGCCAACGATTTGTAGCAAAAAACTCTGCGAGTGCTTTGCACACTACTACAGCGCAGCAATAATTTCTCACGATTGGATCCGAGTCAGTTCCATTGCTGATTCGTATAGAATCCTTTTTCAACTTTTTATTAGCAAAAGAGACAAGCTGATCTACCCGTTAGAAAAGGTTCCGCTCAATTTTTTTCAGTATGAAGTAACTGATTTAGTTGCCGTATAATTGGCGGAACAAGTATACGATGTAATAATGCACACAATTTTTCACCAGGTGACTTGTTGCAAAATCCATCTCCATGCTCCGCTCTTTTCTTCATGGAGCACTTCATTGTTGTTCTTTCAACGAGCACTATGCGGAAAATTTCCAACATAGCCAATAAAGGGTGCAAATCAAAGAGCATCTAACCTATTTGGAACGATTAGGTCAAGCCTATACATTCTCTATATACACTATTCGGTGAACTCCATTGATTTTTTACATTTTGTTCGATATTCTAACGACACCGGATGACACCATCTCAAAAAAAATATTCCCGGTCAATGCCGCGCACAAAAGTATTGAAATCTGGCTCAGAGCTCCACAAAATAACCGTTAAATTTCACACCACATTCTACAGCGAATGCAGATCGTCCAAAGCCTGCCAACCTCGTGTAAAACCCACTTGCAGTTGTTAGCTACAAAAATGGTTTGGCAGAATTCCGTGAAATTTTCAATGGGGGTGACAATTGAAGTTACCACCAACAATTGAGGAAAACTCAGTCGGCTGTAACGAGAGAAATTCATTATCCTGCATGTAGAAGTGAGAGTTATGAGTGTAAGTTGAGACCAGATTGGTATCACGGAGCACACGCGTTTTTCAAAATCACTTATGTGCCACTAGTGACGTGATGGCGCAAAATGCCACGTATATAGCGACAGTAATATTGGAGCTGAATGTCACATGACCAGGAGCAAAGTTGATAGTTGGGAACGAAAAGAACATGTCCGGTCATGCATGTATAGACATGCAAGAACAATTTCGCTACAAGGATGTTTGATGCAATCTGGTCCTGAAAATGGCTATTTATTTTGACCTGAATGTCACGAATAAAGTGCGCATAAAAATGACGTTACTGCGTACTATGACAGACAGTAATGTATGATTCTGGGTCACTTTCACTTTGGGCTCAATAACTTTTAACTGAAAACTTTCTCGCTCAAGCACGTGCCTTGTTACAATGAACAAACCAGCTGGTTTTCTGTTTTCATCTTAGCAGTGCTTACGTTTTCGACCAGCAGGTGCACTATCGCGATCGACACCTAATGGGAGAAGTCTATTCAAACTTAGGAATTTTTATAAGACCAGTGATGAAAATCAGCTATCTCTTGCCTACGCACAAGTAAGTCTCGTGTGATACTTAAAATTTACGCATTTTGTCTACAGGCTAACTTTGTGTTCATTTGTGGTTACTTTGCTGGTGATGGTGAAATACGGTTGGTCACACGTCGCATGTTCAGCAGATAGCCAGTAACTTGTTGGTCATCACTCACTGTGAGAATGGTTCCTACCAGGCGACCCGGATTACAGCAGATGTTTCGGAATAAATTAATAGTTCCTCCATCTTACTGAATATCAAACGGTTCGAGACACACCATATGATACCACAGGTTGCTTTACTTATACTAATTTATATTTATAAATTTAACGTGATCAGATTATGTGGTAAAAGGTGTCAACGGAAAATTACAAACGAAAGGTTAATCTTACAACACATGCTTGATACACCGAGTCGTTTGAAATCAGTAGTTGATTAGGTAAACTAGATTTCTACTCGGTTTCAGGTGTTTAACAACCCTGAATCTATCCGACAAAGCTTCAAGAATCAAATAAACCTTCAAGCACTATACGAAATTTTTAAAGATTGTATCAGTAAAACCTGAAAGCTCGGTAAACCAGATCAGCATATTTGATCAGCAAAATACGTTTCTCTTACCTGGAGGCACAGAACAGATAATTTGGCTAAATGCTTCTCTCAAACGTGGTCAAATAGCTGAGTCCCACTATTAATGTTAAGCCTCTGTCTACGCTGTGGAAATACCAGTGTGTACAGGCACCGGAAATATAGTTCAGTGTTTTTGGTAGCAACCTATCATTTTAGTACCAATGGCTAAATTACATCACTGGAACTACCAAAAGTGATGTGATAAAATGTCATTGGATTACCAAAATAAAACAGAAAATAAATAACAGATCCGAAAAGAAGAGAATCTCTCTCCGAGTACCCCGTTAGCAGCGGAAACGAATGCGTGAACTCCTTCAACGTGAGTTGAGGACAGCATTGATCCCCATGATAAGATGAATTGAAGATAAGTTGCTTGTATCTCAGGAATCAAACCAGCGTAATCGCTTTTAGGCAATTCAGCAGGGATTGACTTTACTGGCAAACAATCCGCGTTTGAAATTTCAACAACTTTTGCAACTGCGAGAAATTACCGGGGTGTATCACGAATCGCACAGTCGATGATCAAGGCAAACAGGCGACAATAAAAATGTCGAAGGCAGAAATTTTCTAGGAGTCTCGTCAAAAGCTTTCGAATGGTTACTCTACGAAGCTCAATTAGTGGCCACCGTGATAATTGTCATGGCCTTCTAAAACGTGACTGTGAGTGAATGCTTTGGTCACTGAATAATCCCTCCCGCCCTGTTGCCACCAATAAATTTTGTCAAGGTGCCTGAATGAGCGGCACACCAACTCTGTTCTGTTTCAATTTGGTGTGTGGTCGACGCGAGCACATTTATAGTTGCAAGGGAGTTTTGTATGTGGAATTTTTATGTGAGTTACTCATGGAGTCATTCGAGTATCCATCAAACGGGTAGTCCGCATTAATAATTATTCGAGCGCTTATTACCCGAGTGCTCAGACTTGTGCACACATTACAGAGGTCCATTTGATTAAACATGATCTTCGTATATCCACGTAAAAGCTTAGTGCACTTTTCTCATGTTGGCATCTGGTGGGTTTTCGTCTCATTCCGGAAGTATGCACCTGGCTAAGAAAATCAGCGTGGACCTAATCATGCTGTCATCCGAGAACGAATGAACACAATAAACAAGTTTGCATCACGTTTTGCAAAATCCGAAAAACCGTTATTCCGAGACAAGAATGGGCCATCGGCCTACGCGAGAAGCATGATACTGAAATGTTCACTTACATTGTCCGGTCGGAGCTGCAGAGTAAAATCAGACAGATTTCAAAGTGAATCTCCACTGAAAAATCTGACAAGGCAGCAGCATTTTTAAACACCACCTCAAGAGTTACCTCTAGTGATAATTATGCTACGTGGCATCAAACTCCCGTGATATTCTCAGTGGGCTTACTTTACATGCGTGACATGACAAACAACAATTTTGTTGATGATGCGTCGCAATGTGCTTAGGATAACTCGAAATGCCAATGATAAGACCATTCATGTTTTCCACTGGAATTTTTCGTAAGCTGTTTGAACTTGGTTGTTTAAATATTGGATGTTCTGGTCAATTAACTTACCCGCTTGATTTATGGCTCATCCATAAAGATAAAGTGTGAGCATTTCCGTCATTGGCGGTCAGTGCTGCTTTTCTTGAACCAGCAAACGTGCAAAATCTAGTATGTTTAAAGGATGTTTCTCAGTAGACCAGATGGACCAGGCTCGTCAGGAAGGCATTTGTTGTGTAGCACAGTCTAATTAATGCCTCCATGTTACCGTGATTCCCGGTATGGATAGCCAGTTGATAGCGTATTGCGCTTAACCTAACAAGGCAAAGGCAGTGTATCTGCAAAACGGCTGATTTACTGACCACTGCTGCGCAAAATCGAACAAAACAGTGATGATTACAACTCATTTATCAATGAAATTTGTATCAACGAAAACGGTTATTCCATCCTTTTATGTAGTTCCGTTACACTCAGGGCTGTTTCTTAAAATACGATTTCAAGTTTAATAAATACTTCACAGAAAAAGGTGTGTTCAAAAGACCGGTTTACATTACCACAACCGTATATTTAAACACGAAGGATCACTAACATTTTGCTCTGTCTAGTTTTCTGCCGGCCGAGACGTTTTATTAGAAATTGCGTGCTATGGCGCGATCAAGTCTCGCATGCAAGTTATAGTACATGAGTTGTATCTTTGTTGATCAGTTTGATTGCAAGCAATCAATATCTAATTTATAATATCTCGAAGGCAATCATTTGGTTGGCAGCAGATATCAACTAGATCCATGCTAGCTTACATTGGATGTTATGTAGCGAAATGTATGTTTGACGTTTTCAATTTCAGACAGGTTGGCTTACCCTAGTTCTTTACATTTTAAACCATAGTTACTGCCCAAATTAACGATACTTCAGAATAACCCAAGAGCAGCTACTGCGGAAAGCAGTCAGTAACACAACTGGAGTTCTTCAATACGTCAAATTAAAGAAACTGACGAGCCCTTAAGTGGTAAGAGATAAACTATTGCATGATGGAATGCATAACTGTTAATCCGATTATCAAATGACCGACGGCCATGCATTTTCATTAGACGAAAAAACTGAAAAAGCAGCGCAAGTTTCTTTGGAACCACCTGTATTAAAAAGCAACCTTTTTCTTCCCGTTGAAAATTGCGCTGCCAGGAAATATTGCTCACATTAGAGACCACAGCAATTTAGTTGCTGCGCAAGGAGACGGAACTACGTAGAGGTTAGTATTTGGCAATCTAAACCCCTTGGTGGTAGCTTCAAATTGGATTTTGGACAAGTGAGACATCAGCTATTATTCGGGTTCTCGAACCTCAATGTCGTGAACCATATTTCATTATGTAAAAAAAGCAAATATCAAAAATTTAAAAATTATGGAGCTCTTGAATTCTAATGGCATTTGAAATTTGGTGATCCAAATAAATTGTGTGAATAGCGAAATTCATTTACAACTTGGTCTAATTCGGTTCGTGGTTAAGCAAGAAAAGTTAACCGTTGAAACGTTTCATGTTTAAGGACAGTATGTACATATATTTACTCAGTGTAAACATATTTTGGAAGACGTACGCGGTTCCGGTCCATACACTTCCACTTTTTGATTGGGAACAACGGAATGCAATATACTTATAGGAGAAATGTGCACTTAACATTGGAAAAAAATAGTGCGTAAAATGATTTGCAGGATAGGGAACCTTATATTTACCTGGCATGTGTGTTCCTGTCCTCAAGTAAAGCGAACTTTTGAAACAGTGATGAAGATTAAAAACTGGAGAGAAACATCTAACAAATCCACACTACAGATACGCAACTGATTAGATAATCATTTGAAAAATATCAGCTAGAGCCTCGTATTTTTTGCTCTTTTGAGTAAATACCGACCATTCGGCATTCGAAATCCTATCGAAGATGGTGCACAATTCTTACTGATGGTAATTACATTTGCGTTGTGCCTTCATCCATATTACCGGACCTGGTTCTTAAACACAAGATATATTGTCAGAACCAACGACGTTTTTTCCAGTTTTTCTTAACCCGTAAAATTTTGAGAACTACATAAAAAACTCCCCAGACGTACCGCGCCTTCTATGGACTAGGTTGAAACACCTTCGACAGCACAACGTATGTAGCTTGTCTGGGCACCCACTACGTGCTTATAATCCCAGACTGTCGGTCAACCTCATGTATCCGTTTGGCTCAGAATGCACGATCGCCGAGGTTACAGCTAGCTAAATAACGAATTGGCTTTAATGTGTTTGTGATTTTCGTCAGCGATCGTATGCACCGCAACAGGCATCTCATATTTCCTTTGGTGCAACATATGAGATACCGCGATATGAAGGATAGAGATAAAGCAATTTTCGTAAGGTTGCCGAATATCCTTCCAACAGCCTGTTACGGGATTTTTCGTTCTTGTGGCATCGGGTGAAAGTGGTTCGAGAACTGCCGTAAGTTGCTTGGGGACATCATAAACGAGAGATTCAGGTTACATCCGTTTGCACATAAATGAGCAGACGGGAAGCGGATATAATGCGATTACTCCTATGAAAACCCGCATGCTTCTACGAGATTTCTGATGACCAACCAAATAATACGCCGTACCATTGCACAAATTTTATGACGGCGAACAGAGAAACGTTTTCTGCCTAGTTACTCGATGCGCTCCACTATTTTTTGAAGTTTTGAACTCCGCAAAACCAGCAGTCAGCAGGGATACCAACGGGATCAGTGGGTTTCCGAACGATTGGCTGAAAATATTTCGCTGATTGTAACAGGAAATAATTTAACTTCACTTTTTAAGGCAAATCGAAAGTCTCTTATTTCACTTATGCGGCCTAGGAAACATATTAAAGCCCAATTCCTGTTATTGTCTCTTTAGCCTGGTGCGTGAAACAGGGTAAATA